TCTCAGATTTTTTAAATTCTGATTTTAATTTCTTTTGTATTTTTATTCTGATTTTTTCCCCTTCTTTAAACACCGGTGATTGGTCACTGCAGATGTTTATTTAGTCTGATCATCATTTTATGCTTATTTTTATTTTTCTCCTCATATTTTTTTATTTTTTTTTCTTTTAGTAGTTTATGGCCACAGATGTTTAAAAAAGCTTTTAAACAAACAAGCCAAAAAACGTCCAAAATAAACTCAAATTTTTTTATGATTTTTCCTCTCATTTAAGGAAAGATATTGGTCAAGATAGGGGTAGAGGGTGGACTGCCGCTTTGGAAAAATGAAAAAAAAATTTATTTTTATTTATTTATTTAACTGTGTGGGCAAAGCGAAAAAAAGATGAGTTATTGAGAAAATAAAAAAATTTGAAAAAAAAATTTTTTTTGAAAAAAAAGATAAAAACCAGACAGCCAACTAACTTATAGAATGTACAACTATAAAATAAAAAGAAATATTTTTGAAAAAAAACACTGAAAAAATATTCAAAAATTTGAAAAATACATAGCTTAAAATAGTCTTCCTTTCTGGTTATATTAGAGACCGGCGCGGGACGGGCTCCCGCGCGGGTTTTAGCTGGAGTGCGGATTGCGGGATTTATCCCGCGGAATCCCGCACTCCCGCAAATCCCGCGGGACACGATTTTGCCGGTTTCTAGTTTAGCTTTAACAAAACTTTTTTAAGAACACTAGAGTATCAATAACGTTCCTGTGCCACTTAATTCTCACACCTTTCTAGTAACTCTATCTTGTACTCTATTGTCCTCTTACTATTAGAGCCTCGGAAATAATGACATTTTTAGTCTTAAAATTTAACTGATTTTTGAATATTTGATTCCCATACCATTTGAGTCTCATTTACAATTATTTAATTTAAAATAGGGTTTGATCCCGAATCCTGAGGGCACGTTTTTCAGGGTGCGTTGGAGGATGACTGACAGAATAACACTCACAATTTATTGACAGTTTACTCCAATGCACCCAGAAAAACGTGCCCTCAGGATTCGGTGTCAAATCCTAATTTAAAGGCCATTTAGTAACTGTGAAGAAGTTTTTCTTGGCACAAAATGGTGCCAAAAAATAATAAAAAAATCTTTTTTTAATTATTCTTCCCCCCTCTTTCAATCCCTCTCTCGAACATTTTTTATGGTCAGCTGTTAATCCAAGGCATCAATGACCGGGTCATTTTGTTTCCCAACCATCCCTCCCCACTTTTAAACTGAAGAAAAAATATAATTATTTGGCACTCTCCACTTTACGATGAGCTTTTTTCTCTTCTCCTCTTTACTCAAATAATTATTACTACACACATTTTGTGGCTTTCGCTTTGGCCCCGTGCCATTTGGAACCATTCTTCGGGAATGGGAAATATTTTTTGCTTTTTGCTTTTTGTTTTAAAAAGTTGGACAAGATAAGGGGAAGTGAATTTATTTAAAAATTTTTTTATTACTCTCTGATTCAAATCTCACTACATATAAGATACTGGCTTGAAGCTGAAAAACATAGTTATCTTATATTATCTTACATAGGAATCTTACTTATCACCTAAGAAGCACTCTTAGTAAGTTCTCCCGCCCTTTGTCAACCATTATCTGATCTACTATATACATACACGGGATCTACAGCCCCTATTTTCGAAATCAGGAATTTTATTTTTTAAGTCCACTAGACCTCTGTTAACAGGTATAAATCTTTTTACCTATAACAAATGTCTAGTTGGTCTTTTTTCCAATACTCGGTCCTTCAAACGCTAAACCCGATTCGAGGAAAATTTTGAATACCCAACCCGAAAGTTTTTTCCACACCCGGCCCAACCATGTTTTGTTATATGTATTATATTTTTAAATTTTCTTTTCACATTTAAAAATAGTAATAAATTAACAGTTACATTATTATTTATTTTTTAAATATTTTTTTTGTTCATATTTTGGCCGATGCAAATTTTTTTATTTATTTTGGCTGCTCTCGGGAGTAGAGACCCAAACACAAAAATAAAAATAAATTTGCATTCTTGACAGGCCACATTTTTGTTTTTGAATGTGTAATAAATCCTTCAAACAAATATTTAAAAGGGGACGCTTGGAGAAGGGGAAAAATAATAAAATAAAGTAAAAATTTTTTTTTAATTTTTTTCATGATTTTTTTAGTTAAATACATACATATTTGTTGATTTTCCTGTTGATTTTTATTTTTTTTATTTTTGTCACACTCCTAGAAACCTTCTAATTTTTGCTTTATTATTTAATTTTTTAATCGCTCATTTATCACACCTAAAGGGGAACATTATCTCTTTTTAATCTACTACACCCCCCTCCATTAATAAAGGCCCCTTTTCATATTTGAAAAAGTAGAGGAATTGAATAGAGGCAGAGTGAAATTAATACTTTAATGCCCTCTTATTAGAGAGAAATTACTGTAATTTTTGATAATCACTTGAAAAGAGTATTTTATTGAGGAGCCTGTCAGTTTACATATTTTTTAATTTTTACAAAATTTTTAAACCAAAAAAACATGATGGACATTAGAGTATGACGTACCCTTCATTGTCCACCAAAAAAATAATGGCCACAAAAAAAATTTTTTTTTGTCCACTACCAATTTTCTACACTATTTCTCTTTCTTTTTTTCTTTTCCTAACTTCCTCCCTCCCTCCCAATTTTAGCCACGCCCCTTTTTTGCAGTCGGCCGCTGCCCATTCTTTCTCCCTTCCTCTCCCTTTATATTTCCCTTTCCTTTTTACAGATTTCATTCATTTTTCTTTTTTTTTCTATTTTTCCAGCTTTTAGCAGCCGCCATTTTTTTATCCCTATTTTTTACAAAATACCTTCCAGCCTTTTGTATTTTTTATAAAAAAAAGTAAAAAACGATAAACTAGTCTTCTTCTTTCAGTCAGCCATTTCTTCGTCTCTTTTCTTCATTTTGTAATGGCCTATTAACTTTTTAGCTTTTTTTATTTTTCCTTTTCACCTTCACTTTCATTTTATTTTCTTTCCTTTTTTTGTTAAATTGTTATTCGTTTCATTAGCCCCAAAGTAAATGAGGGGGGAGTGAATGAATAAAACTGGCAATTTTTTTTTATTTTTAGGGAGATACATAATTATTGTCTTTAAAAATATTTTTTGTCATTATCTACTAGATAAACTCTTCAATTCCCTTTCTGACTTTCCTGACCTTAACAGTAAGGCTAATATCTTTAAGGGCCCCTAATATCTTTAAGGGGGACTATCCCCTAATATCCCTAAGGGCCCCTAATATCTTCAAGGAGGCCTAGCCCCTAATAGCTTTAATGCTAATATCTTAAAGGCTTGGTAACGGATACGGATACAGATAAGGTTCAAAATGCCTGCGGATATCCGTCTGTATTTGCCGTAAATATCTGGATACGGATACCAAAATACATGTCCATTACCTATTCTGGCTCCAATTGCCTTCATTTTCTTCAAGAACTTATTTTATTTTTTATATCTTTTAATTAAACGTTGCTGATTTTCTCATTTATTCTTAGTCACCCTGTCAGAAGCCTTGTTATTCTGACAGCTCTCAGTTGTTGTATTATTAACACAGTTGTCTGTTACTTTTGGGACTGTTAATTAGTAATTAATTATTGCCAAAAATTTGACTTTAAATGGGAGGATAATTAAAAAAATTTTGGGGCCTATCGTTCAATCCGCAAAAATCTTGCGGACATTTTCTTTCGGCAACAAAAGAATTTCAATTTTTTATAAGGTCAAAGAATTAACTTTTGTTAATTTTTTAACCTCTAATTTAACCTTTGTTTAAATATTAAAAGAAAACCATCAAAAGAAAAAAAAATAAACAAAAACCCACATACTAATCTATTGTTTCTTGTGCCCTCTTTAAGGGATCTGCCGGCGCCTTTCCATCAAAAAATAAAAAAAAATTCGGCACAATTCTTCTAATGTTTCTTTGTTCTATTTCTTCATTTTTGCCATTTTTCTCCATTATAAATTATTTAGAGAGACATTTTGTCCCTTTCATATTGACCTGTCGGATCGGTCAAAAAATTCCTCTTCCTTCAACCTTTTGTTATATCCCTCCCCTGACCGCTTGCCGTCTGTTAAGACACGACCACTTTCTCCCTTATTCATTTACTTCCTCTCTCAAAAACTATTCGTGCCGCTCCTTCCGTTGCTCTTGTAATTTTACTTTTTTTTTGGCATTCAAAAAAATAGGCACGCCAAAGCTAAATTTTTTGACCTTTTAGGGAGACTTGTAATGCCACTCCCCCCTTTATTTGGTGGTCAATTTAAATATTCTCTTTTTTCCATTCTCGTTTAGTTATGTACAAGAGGGAGAGATGCGCAATTCCTCCTTTTATTTTTATTTTTTTCGCTTCGCTAAACTTTAAAAGTAATATTTTTAAAATTAATTTACATAATATATTATTTTATATTCAAGAGAGACTCTTATATTTATTAAATAGAGTTTTCCGGAAAATAGAGACTATTATTTTCCGGAATTTTTTATATTGATAAAGGTCTCTTGAATATCAGAAATAAAACAAACTTTCCGGAATGTATATTCTTTTCCGGTTAATATAATAAATTCTTTTCCGGAACAGATTTATATAAGTTCTCCGGAAAAATATTAGCAAAGTTTCCGCTAGTATTTTCCGGAAAGTTTTATATTGAGATTAAACACTAAATATAAACTTTTCGGAACATATATTTTTTCCGGTTAATATATTATTTTTCTCTAATTTATTACCTTCCGGAAACTTAATAAATTCTTTTCCGGAAAAATAGGTATAATAATAAAATATATTCGTTCTATGCGCATGCAATACTCTCCTTGTATTTTTTCATAGAAATTTATTAAAAAAGACCGTTCTTGTTTTTAATTTTATAATTGCTCCATAATTATTATTTTATTTTGATTAATATGTAATTTTTTTTAATTTTCCAAAAATTAATTTTAAATATTTTTAAAGTTTCAAAAAAAGATTTTTTCAAAAAAAAATATTTTCTTCTTCAATTAAAATGCAATTAAAAATCCTTTCCCCTTCTATATATCACCAATTAGTCCCAAATTCAACTAGACCAATTTGGCATCAATGGCATATTAATAATGAAGACAAAAATAATAAAGAAAATTTGGAAGAAAATAATGAGAATTTTAATATTAATAAACGTTCTTCGACTGCTAGAAGACGTTTATTTTTTGAAGAAGGAGGAGGGGGAGGGGAAGAAAATAAAGAAATAAATAAAGTAAATTTAAATTTTAATTAAAAAATTAAATAAAATTTCCCTCAAAATTTTCAGCAATTTGTCCAAAATTGGTTAAATGAATTGTCTGAACATTATAAACAAAAATGGGGATTTGATTTTGAGGAATGTAAACCTTTGGAAAAAAGTCGTTTTGAATTTGAACGGGTACCTGCTGATCAAGTACCTGGATTTTATAGAACAACAAAAATATTAAAATATAAAAATAATGAGGGGAAAGAATGTTTTAGAAGCAAAAACAAATCAGAATTAAATAATTGTTGTTCTGAAAATAATTCTGGTGAATTAACAACAACATGTTTAGGTAAATAAATGAATGATTCTGATTATTATTAGTTGTATTACAATAGGTGTATATAAACTTTTCCGGAAAAAATTTATTGTTATATTTTCCGGAAAATTAATATGTACTATAAATTGTTCCGGAATTTATAAGTTCTATACACTCTTCCTTATAATCTTTCCGGAATATTTTATATTTTCCGGAAACTGTCTAACTTTCATAATTATTTCATTCTTTCCGGAAGACTAATATAAACTTATCCGGAATTTATACATTAATTAGAATATACTTTTCCGGAAAGTTTTAATACTACAAATATTATTATATCTATTTCCGGAAAACTTTAAAATATATTCTCTTTTCCGGAAATTATATTTATATTTTTATAGCCAACTCACCAATTCGTTCAACTCTCCGGAAACCTCCATTTCATCTCAATTCTGTCCGAACACCTACTAGACGCCGACTTTCTCTTAATATTTCCAATAACAACAATTCTTGTTCTTCTAGTGAAAAACAAACAAAAATAACTGGTAAATATTTTAATTAATTTTTAAAATCATCCAAAATTTTTTTCAGATTTTGTGAGTGTTCGAAAATCTTTTTCTCCTCCAGATTCTCTTAAATTTGGAAAAATGGGAGAAGAAAATGACAAACAAAATGGAAAATTATTGGAATCTCCCAAAAAACGACGTTTAAATTCAAAAACAGAAAAAGGCAAAAAATTTGTTAAAATTGATTTGAATGAGGGTATTGCGACTCGTCGAAGCTTGCGACTTCGACACTTATATGCTCAAAATACTACAATATAAAAATTAAAATATAGTAATAAAATTAAATAAAATGAATTAAACTAGTTTTAAATTTATTATTTTTTTGGCACTTTTAGAAAATAAAAAAATTTTTTTTAAAACTTATCTTTTTAGTTACTAAAAATTACTCTAAAAGTAGCCATTATTACTCCTTTTTTCCATTCTGTGCAAATTTAAATAAAATTAAATTATCACATTTTTATTAGTATTTTACACTGAATATTCCTTTTATAATTTTCCTTTACTTGTGCTCTTTTTTTAGTTTTAGTAAAATTGTTTTTAAATATTTTTCTTTTGTTTATTTGGGTGTTGAGTAGACTCTAGTGTACTGATATAATATTGTTTTCCGGAAGACAATAAATAGACCTTTCCGGAAGGTTTGGTAAATACAAATTTTTCCGGAAAGCTGAATATAAACCTTTCCGGAAAATTTGATGGATATAAACATTTTCCGGAAAATTTTATTGTTCTTCCGGAAGACAATACAAACATCCGGAAAATTTATTATGCTCTAGTTACTGATATAATATTGTTTTCCGGAAGGCGGAATATAAACCTTTCGGGAAAGTTTAATAAATATAAACGTTTTCCGGAAAGTTCTATTGCTCTTCTAGAAGACAATACAAACGTATCCGGAAAATTTATGATGCTTTGAAATAGAATGTGTTTTTCCGGAAAACTGGAGTAGTCAGTATTTTCCGGAATTCTATTTTCTAATAAGTTTTAATATAAAGTTTATTAAGCAAAAAGAGAGTTAGTATAAATTTTTCCGGAAACTTATTTTATTATTTAAATTTAATTTTCCGGAAACTACATGAGTGAAAATTTTCAGACACTATTAGAGTCTTATATTTCTCCCTTTTGTAATAAAATAGTATTTTTGACATTTTTACTTAAAAAAATATTTTTTTCTATTCAAAATATTTACGGCACATTTATGGCTAAATGCCACCTTTTTACAACTCTTCAATCCTCCCCATTTTTTAATTTCCCATTTATTCATGTTTTTGTTTTGTTGTTGTCCAACATTCAAAAACGAGAGTTTGTCAAGGTCAGCATCTTCTTTTTTAGGCATTCTTTACTTTTTAAGTAATGACCTTGACAACGAAAATTTAAAAAGAAAAAATCAAGAAAAAAAGAGAATGTGACAAGGGCTATTTATCTTTTTTTCCTTTTTTGTTCATCCATCGGCTGGGAATAAAAAAAATATAAAAAATATAAATTACTAGTTAAATTACATGTTTTGTTATATACTGTCCTTTTTTGGTTTTACTCTTCCTTTCTTTTTGAATTTAAAAATTAATCAACTCGCAGCTTGCGGAGGAAACGACAAAAATACCAACCTCACTACAGAACACACCGTTTTGGGGATAAAAATTTGTCTGTTATAATGCGGTGTATATTAAATTGGGGTGTTTTTTAGGCAACTACCTCAATCCAGAAGTCAATCAGGATTTAAAATACGGGTCTTAAATAGAGGTTTATCTTATAGGGAGGTGCGACATGATTTTTTAATTTATTATAAACACAGACAGCTCCCTCAACCCAGGGCTGAAACAGTGTTCGTAAATTTCAATTTTGCCCGTACTCGTACCAAAATACGAGTACAATTTTGGCGAGCTTATGAACACTAGTCTCTAACCAAAGGTAGCTCCTCAAACCATTTAAAAAACTGTTATTATAAATTGAGAGTAAGTGTGTCGGTTCGGTTTTGGTTAACCGAAGAATCTGATGAAACCGACATCCCTAATTTATAAGGGAGAGATTCACCTGAATTTTTTCAATTTTAAAAATCATTAAAATTTTTTATTTGATTTTTCCAATTTTTCTCTCATTTTTAAAATTGGTCAGAATTTAAATTTTAATTTAATAGACAAGAGGAAGCAAGAGATTTTAAAGACAAACAAGCCGATAAATCGGCGACTGGTTAATTTACAAAAATAAAAAACAAACAACATAAGCATACAAATATACACATTTTCTGTCCTTCCTTTAAAATCCAATTGATCAGCCGCGCGGAAAAATCATAGGCGGAAAGTTTGAAAAATGAATGGGTGAACATGTCGGCAAGATGAGAAAAATATTAAAAAAAACTTTTTAGTTGACTTTTTTCGAAAAAAAAATTATTTTTCCTCTCGACAAGAAAATAAAAGAGAAAAAATAAATTAATTAAAAAAAGGAGATTACCTTTAAAGATAAAATATTTAAAAAAGAGGGATGAGGAAACGGTAGCTTTGAAGACTAAAATAGTGGGGAAATAGGGGGGGGGGGATTTTTGGGGGAAAATATTTTTTTTTTGTTGTGCCGAATATTTTTTTTGATTTTTCCTTTTATTTTTTTAATAAGAAAAGTCAAGAAGACATTAACTAGAATTAATTTAATGTTAAAAAATGATCGAGAGAAAGGGAGGTATTTAATGATTGCGCAATTTGCTTTAGAAAAAAATGCTCAGAAAATATTTGGCCTTGGTATTGAAGGAGAAAAATAGGGATAATTTTAGGCATTTCTTTTAAGTTTGGATGAGTGATTGATAAATGCCTGAAAAAATATTTTTTATTTGCAAAATAATAATAATAATAATAATTCTAAGAAGAATTTTTTAAACATAAGCAAGTTTTAGAATGTTCTAAATTAATTCAGGTTTTACTTAACTAGAACAACAAGTGTCTGATAAACAATGTTTCTAGAAACAAAACAAAGTCAGAAATGTTTGAAAACATTTTTTAAATTTTTTAAAGACGTTAGAGAATGTTGTAAATTAATTCTGGTTTTAAATAAATTCTGAACAAAATAAACAATGTTTGGGAAACTTTTAATTAAAACCAGAACATGTTGTAAATTAATTCTGATTTTTAGCATGAGAACAAAGTCAACAATGTTTGGAAAACTTTTAATTAAAACCAGAACATGTTGTAAATTAATTCTGAAACTTAATTCTGGTTTTAAATAAATTCGAACAAAGTCACAAATGTTTGGAAAACATTTCATTAAAATCAGAACTTGTTTTAAATTAATTCTGATTTTAACTTAATTCTGATTTTAAATAAATTCAAAACAAAATCAACTATGTTTGAAAACATTTAATTAAAACCAGACCATGTTTCCCAAACATTGCTGATTTTAAATAAATTTCCAGAACAAAGTCACCAATGTTCGGGAAACATTTAATTAAAACGAGAATATGTTGTAAATTAATTCTGATCAATTTACTATAATTAGAACAAAATTTGTTTTTGACTTTACCTTTTTTGCTTCCTTAGAATGTTAAGCTTAAAAAATTTAAAATTTAAATAAAATAGTTTCATCAAGATTAATGATCCTTTGGTCCTTTAATGTTTTATATTGTCGGCTTTTTAAATAAAAAAATTAATTTGACGAAAAGCTTTAGAGAAACGCCTCGAGCATTTTAAATAAATAAAATTGTTATTTTCCTAAGGCGTCGGTTTGGCGCAAAATTAAAAAAAAAAAAAATTTTGTTTAAAGGGCAGATGTGTTGATATATGTATTTATAGAAGAATTTTTTAAAGAAGAACAATGCTTCTATAATGGAGAACAATGTTTTTGTTTGTTGGAAGATGGTAACGAAATTCGAATTCGTACATTGTAAATATGGTTGGGGGCACGATCCGGCCCTGTCCGATGGATCGGAGTCGGGCATTGAATTTTGGCCCGAAAAAGACTCGGTCGGGCCGGCTCGAAATAAAGCCCGAAAAAGTAACTCGAACGTTGGCCCGACTTGAAAACCCCAACCCTACTTGTATATATGGTACGAATTGGGATCAAAATATAAACTTCCACCTATTATTTTTAAGTATACGTAGGCAAAAATATCTCACGATTTTAATTAAAATAAAAAAAATTTTCTCAAAAAAGTTTTTTTATTTAAATATTAAAGTAAATATTTTCAAATATCGGTGGTGTTTATTGTCTCAAGTACACCAAGTCAGGCGTCAATGTAATACATATATCTCACGAAATTAATTAAAATAAAAAATTTTCTTAGAAATGTTTTTTTGTATTTTTAAAATAATTATTTTAATGTAAATATTTACGATTATTTTAATAAAAAATATTTTTTTAATTAATTTTATTTTACCATAATTTTAAAAAAAATAAAAAAATGCCCGATTCAATTGATATTTTATTTAAATTTGATTATTGGGGCAGTTTATTACTTGGTTATCCTCTAAACATTATTCTGATTAGTTTAATTATTTTTAAAACACCAAAAGAAATGGAAACACACAGCAGAATTCTGATACAAAATTGTGTTTTGGATATTTTAATATTGACTGTTCAAATGTTTGTACAGATGGTAAAACTTTTAGAAAATCAGAATTAAATTCGAACAATATTATTTATTGAAAATTAAACCAAAATAGAACACTTTATTTATGGCACAACTTTATTCAGATTAAAGATAATGAGATCAAATAAAGGTCTAATGATTGAGAACTAAATAAGGAACAAAAATAACCAGGAATCTAAGAAGTGCCCACCACTTGCTTTGATACAGGGTTCCAGCGAGATTTTCTCCCATTCCCGAACGAGTGACTGACGGCGCGTCTCCTAACTTTTGTGAGGTTTAGCGCAGTCCCTCTCCTTTGAAATATCCTATAAGAGTAATTCACCGAATTCAAATACGGTGGGTACTGTGGCTATATTTGAGACACATAACACCAGGTAAGTGTGAACTTTGAGAGGAGTAGGAATCAGCAAACGGTGAATCTTTTGGTTGTTGGGCTGAATTGGGAATTGGGCTTATATGCCATGAAAGAGAATTGTTTGGACTACAAAATGTGTATAAAAATATTAAAAAATTTAAATGGGAAAAAAAGTTATGATTAAAAGTGTTCAGTTACGGTCACCCTGTATAAGTGACCCTGACAATTTTTCCAGTAAAAACCAAAATTTAATTTAAACAACCACTAACAGCATTTTTAAGTTCTATTTAACCGACAAAAATGGAAATTCAATTTTTATCATTTCTGACGGGATTTTGATGTATTTTATGAGAGAAATATTTAATCCATTAGTGTTCTATTATGTTTATATTGTGTACATATTTATCTACAATTTAAATACAAACGGATTATGTCTTCAATTTGTATATAGATATTTGATTTTGAACAGGTAAACATATGAATCCGTAAATCAACGATTTTTTGTTTGTTCGTTGTAATTAAAATTCTAAAAATAAAAGATATCGGATACGAACATAAAACCTAACAAAAAACCATTAATTTCTACATAATTTAGAGAGACGGCCAGAAGTAAGTTTGCTGAATTTTGATCCACTTCGGATCGCAACGGCGGATTGCGGACTGCGAATTTTAAAATAAAAATTGCGGCTGCGGAAAATTTTTTTCAGTTGCGTCCAGCCCTGCTTTGGATAGATAGGAACAGAAGCGGATTTCAATCCTATATGTTGGGATTATGGTTTAGTCTAGTGTTTAGTAGAGATCGGCCTGGATCCGGATCCAGTCTGGGTTTTTCCTGATCCAGAGTCCAGATTTCCAGGCATTTTTTGATTGCCCGGATTTTTTGTGGATCTTGATTTTTCCTGATTCAGAATTTTTGAAATACCGATCCCTAATGTTTCACTTACATATCTTTGGCCTAATTTATAAAAAAAATTTATTTTTTAACAGAAACATGAAAATTGGTATCCGTCGCTATTTTTATATGTTTTCGATTGTTTTAATAATTAATGTAATTTATGCTGTGGCTGATATTTTTTTTGTTATACCATATTCTGGCGGAGGTGTTCAACAATTTGTGGAGATTAATAAAATATTTCCATTTTTTCAAACTGAAATGGTTAATGTATATTTTTAAAATTTTTATTTTCTTTAAAAATAATTTTTATAAAAAGCTGGGAATTTTGACAAGTCTTCTACTAGCTTTTATTGAACTTGTCCCATATTTTATAATTATTTTTTGTGGGATTAAAATGGTCAAATACGTCAATGAACATACTGGACTTGATCAAGAAATGAAAAGATTGTTTAAACAATTAACAAAAACATTAATACTTCTGGTATGTTTTGAATTGGGAAATTAGTTAAATGTTTGGGTATGCTTCGTCTGACTTAATAATTAAGCATAATAAATCGTAAATATTAAAATTATCAATCTTATTTTAATTTTTAAGACCTTCTATATCCCAGAATAAATTTAATAAGATAAAAAACGCTAATACCTCAGATAGATTGATAGGACTTAGAACTGTGCCGAAATTTCGATTTTCGATGATTTTTTTTTCGATTTACAATTTTCGATTTCGAATTTTTGGAAAAATTAGATTTTGTGGCGCTTAAGGAAAGAAATAAGGGTTAATTGACCTTCCAAAATTCTCAAAATTATCACCTGCGGCGTTGAAAATCGAAATCAGTAGCCGGAGCTAAGATTAAATAGCCGGAGCCAAGATCCGAATATTCTAAATTTTGGTTTGGATGTCGGATCCTAATGAAAAAAAGGGCATAGCTAAAAAAGTATAACTAAACCATATAGTTTCCTTTAATTAATTCTGATTTTGTTTTAAATTAATTCTGAAACGCTTCCAACTGTATTTTCTGAACCAAGAAAACATTGTTGAATATTTAAAACTACAAACAATTCTGATTTTTTAAAACATGTTTTAATAACAATATTTAGGCTGTTGTTCCATTTGTAAAACACGCAACAGTCTTAATGGTTATATTATACTTTCACACAAACAACAATACTTCAAACATTATTCGACTATTTAGTTTTCATTGGTTTCATTTTACCCCTGTATTTAACTCAATTGTTTGTATAGTAACAAACAAACCATATCGAATTGCTGTTTTTAAAAGTATAAGAATTGTTCCACAATAAATTTTCGAAATTTTAAACACAAAATTTGAATATAAAAATTGTTCCCGTACTTTTATTAAGCATAAAATTTATTTTTAATATTTTGTTAAATTTTATAAAATCTATGAAAAATTGATCTTGAATGTGTAAAGAAAAGAAAAATTATAAAAAATGTTAAAAATGCCCTCCCTTTGCCATGATATACGCGTCCAAACGCTTACTGAATTAAATTAAAAATCCAAACGCGCACTGATCTACAATAATTGTAGTCAGTGCCACTTGCAATCTCTTCTTTCACAACAAACAAAATCATAGGCAATTGCTTCCCTTGCTTCCAAAATTGTTCAAGAGAGCCTCTTCCACAATCTTTAACGATGTGGGCTGTTTATTTTAATTTCAAGACAATTTTTATATCAAATAATAAAAATTTTGTTAACTATTAATTAGGAAAAACGAGTGTACCGTATTTACTCGATTAATTCCCCTGGGGCATTATTTTTTCAACCCATTCGTAGCATGGGGAATTATTTAAGGGAGGGGAATTATTCGAGTTTTAGAATTTGAACGTGTAGTAGGGTATTTGGGGGAGGGGGATTATTGTTTCAACTCATCCCTGGCATGGGGAATTAATAGAGGGTGGGGAATTATTCGAGGGTGGGGAATTAATCGAGTAAATACGGTAATTTAATCAAAAAAAGTTTTTTTATTTAAATATTAAAATAAATATTTTTAAATACCGGAGGTGTTTATTGTCTCAAGTACACCAAGTCACACCAAGTCAGGTCGTTTTCACCGGTCAGGTCGTTTAAGGAAATGGAGGACAAGACGAAGACGGCATGCGATGATATTATGGGGAGTATAGGACTTCTAATTCGAGCCTAAAGGGATATATCATCTAACATATGAGACTAACTGATTATGTTAATTTAAGTGAAATCCAAATATAATATAAGGTGAATGTATGCATAAGATAAAAGTAAAGCACGAAAACGAATAAAATAAAATGTACATTGAATAAGGGTTAAAATTAATCTCTCTAATTCGATCCAACAACTTCCCAATTAGAATGTATCTTCGAACGAACTTTTAAAATGAACATGGAATGAGCCTGATTCTTCTCTTCCAGAGTTGTTTAGGTAGCTATATGTAGTCAAATAAGGCGTTACAATAGTTAATAGGAAGGGTGGGTGGATTGATAAACACAAATAAATGTAAAAGGCGAATAATCCGGGAAAACATATGAATAGGTGAGTGAATAATTGACAGGAAGGGATGGGAAAGATTAAAGGTGAAGGAACAATATATTGTGGAAGAAATATGTGGAAAGAATAAAGGGATTGGTGTGGGTGATTTTGGGGTTAGGAGGTTTGGAAGTGGATGGCACATAATCGGTAAAGCTCTGAGGGTTGATCAGGTCTACAGTCTTGCCGAGGCATAGATTTTACCGCTCCTTTATTTATATAAGGGCAAAATTCAAGTTCGTTCCCCCCTCCTTTTTCCTCCCTCAATTTTAATAAATGGTCAGTCAGTCTTAGATTATAGAACTCGATTCTGGCGAGAACGGCATTCATATTTATCGTTGTTAACCGAAAATAACAACTTTATCAACTAAACATAAAATTCTTTTAAAATAAAATACAAAATTTATTGTGGATGTATTCTTAAACGATTTAAAACAGCTTCTTTGTATGGCTTATTAGTTATTATACAAACAATTGGGTTAAAAACAGGTGTAAAATGACCTAAACATGACAAAAATATATAGAAAATTAATTTGTTGTGTAAAGCATATAGCTATTAATTTTCTAAGGCTGTGCAGTAGACGGTGTTGTATAATGGCAAAATCATCAGTCCGGTCTACTGAAGATGCTGGTTCGCTCCCAGCAGCCGAATAACCTTTTGCACTAGCTAAAGGAGAGAAATAGCTATAGCCCAGCTGCTTTACTGTTGTTATAAATTAGAATTGTATTAGTATCTTGTGAATTATTCATTTTATTATCATATTTAGTAAAAATAGTCAATAAAGCTAAAATTTGATTAATAAACGGAATAATTACCTAAAATTTAAATAAAATTAATATTCAAAATTAAATAATTCACCAAAATTATCAAAGTTTTTGTCAATTGTTTAAGTAATCTTTTCATATTTTGATCAAATCCAGTGTGTAAATTAACATAATGAACCATTTTAAATCCACAAACAAAAATTATTAAATAAGAAATTATCATAAGAAGATAATTAGGAGATAATTATTCGCATATTTTACTCAACCGGTAGTTTTAACTATTATCTTTTGTTTTTAATTTTTTAAACAATGTTTTGTAAATATTCTGATGTAAATATGTACTTTATTAAAAAGTTGGCAACTTTGTTTGTTTCGCAGCTAAAATTTAATAAAACGAAAGCATTAATTATTCTTAGAATAATTATTATATTAAAAAATTTTTTTTGTTTGTCTATTTAGTAACAGGTGAAAATTTTAAAACAATGTTTAAAAAATACTCTGGGGCGGTATTATAAAAACGGGGTAGGGGTTAACCAATCCTCAGCTGTGGGTAGATTAACCCAGAACCCTTATTGGAAAATGCGGGTATTATCAGAAACGAGAATCGAGTTCATTCCGTTTCAAAATAACCTTTTTATCGCTTCAAATTCCTTTATCCCTCCTTAATCTAGAAAAGAACAAAATCTCGATTATTCCAAAATTCCGATCCCGATTTTACGTCGGGATCCTGATCCCGCTCAAGCCTAGTTAAAATATTTAAAATTTCCGGGCATCTGAAATTTTCAGTCTGGATATCGTATCCGTATTTTCATAATTTTTGGCTCGGATATCAACGTGGGATTTATCATTATCAATCAGCTCTATTCATAAATAAACTAAAAAATAGGGTCAGATAGCTGGGTAACCCGCAGGGTTAAATAACCCTCAACTCGGGATAAAAATGTTAATTTATTGTACCGAATTTATTGTGCGGATTTAACCCGGGGTTGGGAGTTATTTAACCCCGGGTTATTTAACCTGGTTATTTAATCCGGTCATTTAACCCCGATTTTATTGTACGGGCCCAGCTGTGGGTTAGTTACCCGAGTAATAGAACCCGCAGCTGCGGGTCAGGTTCTTACCCTCATTGCAAGATGAGTGTTCTGGGTAATAGAACCTGCAGCTCGGAGTTCTATTACCCGGGTAAAAGAACCTGGTAAATTTACCAGGTTCTCCTACCCCGTTTTTATAATACCGCCCCTGAATTTCAATAATTTAATTTTCACCTGCAAATTAAAAAGTAAACTAAACATTATTTATTATAATGGGTTATGTAAATTAAAAATTCTAAAAAATATTTGAAAGTTGTTAAATAAATAACAGGTGAAAATTTTAAAATTAATTAAACGACATTTACTTTTAAATAAATATTTTTAAAAATTTTCACAGAAAAAATTCGTAAAGCAAAAAAGAGATATCTTGCGACACTTGATAATTTAAAAAATGTCAGTTTTAATTGATATTCTTCTTGAATTTGATTATTGGGGTTGTTTATTACTTGGTTATCCTCTAAACATTATTCTGATTATTTTAATTATTTTTAAAACACCAAAAGAAATGGAGACACACAGCAGAATTCTGATACAAAATTGCGTTCTGGATATTTTGACATTGACGGCTCAGATGCTTGCACAGCTGGTATCACCCTTAAAATCAAAACCAGAATTTTTAACATTAAGATTTATATAATTGACGGCAATGGAGATACAGTCTTTATTTTTACTAACGGCATCTTGATAGGATTAATGAAAAATAATTTTAACAAAATTATTTACCTCAGTTATATATTTGTCGTACAATATTTTTTCATTATAAATTTAAATGGATTATGCGCCCAATTTATTTTTAGATATTTAGTTTTGAACAGGTAAAAAACACAGTTTAAAATAAATAGGGTAAATGTGGATTTTACTGGTCCTTAGTTAACGGGGAAGAATAACGTTTTTCAATTGTCAATGCCATATCAGCACACTCACATTGAGCATTCACTAAATTCCCAAATTCGGCAATATCCTTCAGATCACTAGACTTCAAATTTAAGGCTTCAAACCTTTTCAAGAACTTGGATCTAGGGTTCCCGAACTCTCAACAATTCTGCAGTAGGTTCGTCAACTGCATTTCACACAACTAGGTCAGAAGCTTCAGACTAGACAGAAGCTTCAGATTGCTACACTTCAAATTTAAGGACCCTTTCTACAATTCTGCAGTAAGTTCGTCAAATTGCATTTCACTCAACTTGGTCGGTAGCATCTTCCACTATATTTGGGCATATTCTTCTGGCTCCGATTTACTCAGCAATAATCGCACTTTAGAGGATTCTGGCATGGCTTTTCCCTCACAACACAAAATAGGAACGATGCCCATTCTACATTAGTCAAATTGAATTCGAACTCACCGATCATGCCGACTTAGTTTCAACAGCTGCTCTTCTCTGACCGTGTTTGTGAGGTTAAGGAAGTCCCGTCCCATCCCCCTCCTTTCCTCTACAATTACCCAATGGTAAACCCCAAAAATATGTAACTCGCAGCTTTTCCTCAATTCTTTCCAAGGACCAGTAAAATCCAAATTTACCCAAGAACACAAATTTATAGGAACATGAAAATTACCTTTAAAAAATATTTTTTGTACATGTTTTCGATTGTTTTAATCATTGGTTTGTTTTATTGTCTGATATTTACTTCTTTCGGCATAATTGATGGAGGTATTAGACATTTCGATGAACTTAACAAAACATTGCCATATATTTCTACTAAATCAGCGGTATTTTTTAAAAATGAAAAAAGTGTAATGAAATTATTTTTGAAGCAAATGTTGCCAGCATTAATCATAATTCTTGGTATACTACTTCCATTTATTATAATTTTTATTTGTGGATTTAAAATGGTTTATTATGTTAATTTACATACTGGATTAAGTCAAAATTTGAAGAGATTACTTAAACAATTGACAAAAACTTTGATAATTTTGGTATATAAAATTTATTTGGTATTAGTGTGGTTTACGCCCCATAAGCTCCGCCTCTTCTCTCTTTCTTTGTTTTAAGACTTATTTTCAGAAATAAAATGAAAATATCGGCCCAACGGTCACTTTTTACAAACTGAAGAGAGAAGAAAGATGGGCGTGGCTTATGGGGCGTAAACTACACTAGCACATTTTATTAAATTCTATTTTAAATTTTTAGGTAATTATTCCATTTATTACTCAGTTGGCAACTTTCGTAACTGCTTTCTTTGCATTTAATAAAAATACAAATGATTTACCAGAAAATATAAATCTAATTTATATTCTTCTAGGAGTTTTCACTCATTATGCCAACGTTTTTAACCCAATTGTTTGTATAATAACTAATAAGCCGTACAAAGAAGCTGTTTTAAATCGTTTAAGAATACATCCACAATAAATATTTATTTTATGCTAACAAGGAGAGTTTGCGAGGTGTCCGAGCTAAAAACGATCGAGACCGGGCTCATTCGATAGCCACCGCGCCAACAAAATAAACGCATTATTTAAAGTTTATATTTGAAGGGGGGAAAATATGCCAAATTTTGGGACTTTGGAAGGCCATATCTTGGCCAGATCAAAAAACAGGCAAAAACGGCAAAAAATCCTTGTTAGAAAGGGCACATTCTCTATCGAATGAGCCCGGTCTCGACCGTTTTTAGCTCGGACACCTCGCAAACTCTCCTTGTAAGAAGAGTGTGTTAATGTCTAATATAATCAGAATTATTTAAAAGAAGCTAGATGAAAATTTTAATAAAAAATTTGTATCAATATTTTCCGTACTTTATTGTAATTACTTCCATTTTTTGTTGTTTATATTGTATCTTGTCTCTAAAGTAATTTTAAAGTAAACAAAGCTTTTTCATGTAAAGATATCTCACGATTCTTATTAAAATACTTCGCTCGAAAAATTGTATTTTTAAAAATTATTAGTGTGAAACATTTTTAATAAAAATTTAACATTAATTTTACTTTAACTATAACACTTTAAAAATAAATTTAAAATAATGCCCCTAAATTTAACCGATATTTTATTTAAATCTGATTATTGGACAAGTTTATTACTTGGTTATCTTCTAAACATTATTCTGATTATTTTAATTATTTTTAAAACACCAAAAGAAATGGAAACACACAGCAGAATTCTGATACAAAATTGTGTTTTGGATATTTTAATGTTAACATTTCAAATGTTTGCACAAATGGTAAAATAAATCCAGAACTAATAAATTTGACAAGATTATATATAGAAAGAAATAAAACTTTCCGGAAGTAAATTTAAAACCTCCCGGAGCGCGGGGTTTTTGCACTGCGCCTTGCCGACGCTTATAGGTTCACTTTGTTTGTCTTTCTATCATTTTGTCCAAACTTGTTCAACCGAGCTGATTTTGGTGTCATTCTACTCAGCTTGTCGAGCCCCTTCGAATGACATATAATTTGTCGATTTTAGAATATGTGGGCTCAAAGCAAAATTTTCCGAAAATTACATACTGTATAAAAGATTTGATTTTAAGGACGGTTTTACATTGATTTTCGGGGTTTTAAATTCTTTAAATTTAAAAATTATTAAGTTTGTTATAATTGACAACAATGGAAATTCAGTCTATATTTTTACTAACGGCATTTTTATTGAATTTATGGAAAATATTTTGAACAAAATTATTTACATAAGCTCTGTAATCTTCGTTCAGTCTTTTTTCATTATAAATTTATGTGGATTATGTGTCCAATTTGTTTATAGGTATTTAATTCTGAACAGGTAAAACACAAAACAAAATCAGAATTAATTTAAAACATACCAGAATTAATTTAAAACAAAATCAGAATTAATTTAAAACATAACAGAATTAATTTAAAACAAAATCAGAATTAATTTAAAACAAAATCAGAATTAATTTAAAACAAAATCTGAATTAATTTAAAACATACCAGAATTAATTTAAAACATACCAGAATTAATTTAAAACATACCAGAATTAATTTAAAACATAACAGAATTAATTTAAAACATACCAGAATTAATTTAAAACATACCAGAATTAATTTAAAACATACCAGAATTAATTTAAAACATAACAGAATTAATTTAAAACAAAATCAGAATTAATTTAAAACAAAATCAGAATTAATTTAAAACAAAATCAGAATTAATTTAAAACATACCAGAATATATTTAAAACATACCAGAATTAATTTAAAACATACCAGAATTAATTTAAAACATACCAGAATTAATTTAAAACATACCAGAATTAATTTAAAACATACCAGAATTAATTTAAAACATACCAGAATTAATTTAAAACAAAATCAGAATTAATTTAAAACAAAATCAGAATTAATTTAAAACATACCAGAATTAATTTAAAACATACCAGAATTAATTCAAGACATACCATAATTAATTTAAAACATACCAGAATTAATTTAAAACAAAATCAGAATTAATTTAAAACATACCAGAATTAATTTAAAACATACCAGAATTAATTTAAAACAAAATCAGAATTAATTTAAAACAAAATCAGAATTAATTTAAAACATACCAGAATTAATTTAAAACATACCAGAATTAATTTAAAACAAAATCAGAATTAATTTAAAACATAACAGAATTAATTTAAAACAAAATCAGAATTAATTTAAAACAAAATCAGAATTAATTCAAAACAAAATCAGAATTAATTTAAAACATACCAGAATTAATTTAAAACATACCAGAATTAATTTAAAACAAAATCAGAATTAATTTAAAACATAACAGAATTAATTTAAAACAAAATCAGAATTAATTTAAAACAAAATCAGAATTAATTTAAAACATACCAGAATTAATTTAAAACATACCAGAATTAATTTAAAACATACCAGAATTAATTTAAACCATACCAGAATTAATTCAAGACATACCAGAATTAATTTAAAACATACCAGAATTAATTTAAAACAAAATCAGAATTAATTTAAAACATAACAGAATTAATTTAAAACAAAATCAGAATTAATTTAAAACAAAATCAGAATTAATTTAAAACATACCAGAATTAATTTAAAACATACCAGAATTAATTTAAAACATACCAGAATTAATTTAAAACAAAATCAGAATTAATTTAAAACATAACAGAATTAATTTAAAACAAAATCAGAATTAATTTAAAACAAAATCAGAATTAATTTAAAACATACCAGAATTAATTTAAAACATACCAGAATTAATTTAAAACATACCAGAATTAATTTAAACCATACCAGAATTAATTCAAGACATACCAGAATTAATTTAAAACATACCAGAATTAATTTAAAACAAAATCAGAATTTATCAGAAACAAAACTTAAATTTATAGAAACATGAAACTAAAATTTCGACATTATCTGTACATGTTTTCAATTGTTTTATTTATTGGTTTATTCCATACTCTAATTTATATTCCCTCCTACATATTTGATGGAGGTATTAAATACTTTTATGAATTCAACGAAACATTGCACTTTGTTTCTACTCAATCAACGGTATCTAATTTTAAAAGGGAGGGTTTCTTACGAATTTTTTCGATATATACAGTAACGACATTTACGTATGGATAAATTTTATGCTCAACTTTGTAAGGGTTACTCAAAAAATTTTTTTCTGGCCTTATTTATTTTTGTGGGTCGCCACTGTATTAGAGGGAAAGTGTCATGGAGAGGACGGATTTATACAGCGCCTCCAATATAATTTATTTTTTGTAGCAAAATTTGACACTATTGTTTACAACTCTCCTTATAATAATCTCCTATTTAATAATTTTCGTTTGTGGATTTAAAATGGTTCGCTATGTTAATTTACATACTGGATTTAATCAAGATATGAAGAGATTACTTAAACAATTGACAAAAACTTTGATAATTTTGGTATAATATTGATCATAAATTTTATCTTATTTAAATTTTAGGTAATAATTCCTGTTATTAATCAATTTTTGGCCTTATTGCTTATATTTTTTATATACGAAAATCAAGCAAATGATTCACTTAGTAAAATAATTGTCTATATATTACTTTCAAGTTTAGCTCATTTTACACCTGTTTTTAACCCAATTGTTTGTATATTAACTAATAAGCCATACAAAGAAGCTGTTTTAAATCGTTTAAGAATACATCCACAATAATTTTTCTATTTTGTATTTTTTAAATGATATAATAAAAATATTTTATCGTATCACCTATAATTGTGCCACTATCTAGCGAATTTAGATTAATAAATATTGTTAAATCTTTTTAATTTTAGCCAATCACAGAACAAGCCACGAATACTAAAAAACACTCATTAAAAGAACAAAATACATCCTTGTGATTTTCTTTCATCACTTTTATATTTTCTCTTCTTTAAAAATAAATTTGTTGTGCGAAAGCACTAGCTTTTTTTGTTTGTTTTTTTCTATTTTTTACATTAATTCTAAAAATTTACATTAATTCACCTTTTTTGTTTATATTGTATCTTGTCTCTTAAAAGTACTTTTTATGTAAACAAAGCTATTTCATGTAAAGATATCTTACGATTTTTATTAAAAAACTTTTCTTTAAAAATTGTATTTTTAAAAGTTATTAGTGTGAAAATTTAATTGAAAAATTTACATTAATTTTACGTTGTATAATTATGAAACTTTAAAAATTAAAAACTTTAATAAAAATTGTGACAACAAAGTCCTGCTGTCTATAAATGCATATAGTACCGATAAACTCCACATCCTTCTTGTCCGTCCAATATACCTTCAAATCCTCATATATCCGTATTTGGGCATAATCAAGAGATCAAAAGGGTAAGTTGGATATCAGTAATTTGAATATCTTATGATTTTTGGATTAGACTTTCAATGTTTATATTGTATCTCGTCTCTCTAAAGTACATATTTTTTAAGTAAACAAAGCTTTTTCATGACAAGATATCTCACGATTTTTATTAAAAAATTTTCTTCGAAAAATTGTATTTTTAAAAATTATTTGTGTGAAACATTTTTAATTAAAATTTTACTTTGTTTAACTATAAAATTGTTAAATAAATAAAATAATGTTCAATTTACTTGATATTTATTTAAATTTTCGGGGTCGGTTGCTACCCTATAATTTATTTAACCCTTTATATTTATGTTTGTTATTGAAAAGTATTTTTCAGGTACACCAAGACTGTCGTCAATGGAATAATATCTCACGAATTTAATTATATTAAAAAATTTTCTCAAAAATGTTTTTTGTATTTTTAAAATAAATATTTTTAATGTAAATATTTTTAAAAATTAATTTTAATTTGTTTTACTACATATAATTCTTTTAAAAATTAAAATAAAAAAATGTTAAATTTACTAGATAGGTATTTTATTCAAATTTGATTATTGGACAAGGTATTGTGCCATCGACGAGGTATTGTGCCGTACTCTTTTATGCACCTCTTTTTCTATGTTAACCAACACAGTCGTTGAGTATCTCACGATTTTAATTAAATGAAAAGATTTTTTCAAAAATGTATTTGTATTTAAATATTATTAATGTAAATATTTACAATCATTTTAATAAAAATTTCACATTTATTTTACTTTGTTAACTATAAAACTATTAAAAATTAGAATAAAATAATGTCCAATTTTCTTGATATTTTTATTATATGGGATTATTGGACATGTTTATTACTTGGTTATCCTCTAAACATTATTCTGATTATTTTAATTATTTTTAAAACACCAAAAGAAATGGAAACACACAGCAGAATTCTGATACAAAATTGTGTTTTGGATATTTTATTGTTAACGGCTCTAATGTTTATGCAAATGGTAAAAACTTTGGATGGACTAAAATTAAATTTAAAAAAATTAAATTCTTTTCTGAGAGAAAACACTAATAAATCAGAATCGTTATTTCCGGAAGGTTTTAGATAATATTACTTTCAGACAAGGAAAAATTGAGGGTTTAAAAAGGAACTCATATCCTTCCAAAATAAATAAGATAAAGTTTTTATAGGAACGCACAAAATCCGTGCGTGCTAGTACTTATTTTTAGTACAAGGCAGTACAACGCCAGATGTATACCCCAAGGTACCGCGAGGCCAAGGTACTGCAGAGTATACCGGGTCGATGCACCTCGACGAGCTGACTCAAGTCATAATTGTAAAGCATATAGCTATTTAATTCCTAAGGCTGTGCAGTAGGCGGCGTGGTGTAATGGATAACACATCAATCCGGTCTACTGAAGATGATGGTTCGCTCCTAGCCGCCGAATAACCTTTTGCATTAGCAAAAGGAAAGAAATAGATAGCCTAGCTATAACCTCGTAGCTATAACCTCGACAAGCTCCCAGCCGCCGAATAACCTTTTGCACTACCTAGCTAAAGGTGAGAAATAGCTATAGCTTAGCTGCCTTACATATGTAATTTTGCACAAATTTTAGCTCCGCTGTATTGGTCTCGGCGGTATTTTAGCGTGCTCCCAAGCTAGAAAATGCAGCTACGAATTACGAGCAAAATTGACATTTCTAAACACATACGATATCCGTCTAATCATTCTTAATTTTATTTAATCCAATCCCTTCTAATAGTCCCATCGTGCAGGTGTGATTTTTGATATCGAGGTAACTAATAAAGATATAATACTAATAATTTAAATAGGAAATCAGAATTATTAAACGCAGATTTAAAATAAATAAATAAAAATTAAAACTTAATAATTAAAATCAGAATTAAACCTAAACATTAAGTTTTATATAATTGACGTCGATGGAAATTCAGTTTATATTTTCACTAACGGCATTTTAACTGAATTTATGAAGAATAATTTTAATAAAATTATTTGCCGAAGTTTTATAGTTATTCTACAATTTTTTTACATTATAAATTTGTTTGGATTGTGTGCCCAATTTGTTTATAGATATTTAGTTTTGAACAGGTAAAACACAAATAAAAATCAGAATTAATTCAAAAATTAACAGAAACATGAAAATTAACTTTAAACATTATTTAATGTATATGTTTTCGACGGTTTTGATTGTTGGTACGTTGCATAATTTGATTAGTATTAGCTATATTTCTCAATATATTAATGGAGGTGTTAAACATTTTGATGAGGAATATTTCAACAAAACCTTTCCTTATGTAATTACGAAAATTGAGGTATTGAAAATATGATATTAAATATTATTTTAATAAATATTTTAATAAATATTTTTAAAGCAAGGGGTTCCTTCATTAATTACAACTCTCCTAATGATAATTTCCTATTTAATAATTTTTATTTGTGGATTTAAAATGGTTCATTATGTTAAGTCACATACTGGATTTGATCAAAATATGAAGAGATTACTTAAACAATTGACAAAAACTTTGATAATTTTGGTAAATTATTTAATTATTTGTATAATTTATTTAAATTTTAGGTCATTATTCCATTTATTAATCAATTTTTAACTTTATTAACTATATTCCTTAACTTCAACAATGAAACAAATGGTTCGAATAATGAAAATATCAAAAATATTGTCTATATATTTCTTGTAATTTTCAATCATTTTATACCTGTTTTTAACCCAATTGTTTGTATAATAACTAATAAGCCATACAAAGAAGCTGTTTTAAATCGTTTAAGAATACATCCACAATAATTTTTGTATTTTATATTTTTTGACTGATTTAATAAATCTATTTTATCGTATCACCTATAATTAAATCCTCTTTATTTGCAACCTCGCGTTCGCGCGAGGTTTTTCTGTTTTATATTGTATCTTGGCTCTCTAAAGTACATACTTTTTAAGTAAACAAAATTATTTCATGTAAAGATATCTCACGATTTTTATTAAAAAATTTCCTTCGAAAAATTGTATTTGTAAAAATTATTAGTGTGAAACATTTTTAATAAAAATTTTACATTAATTTTACTTGTTTAACTATAAAACTTTTAAAAATTAATAAGTAAAAAATGTCCAATTTTCTTGATATTTTATTTAAATTTTCGGGGTCGGTTGCTACCCTATAATGTATTTAACCCTTTATATTTAGTATGGTTGTTACTGAAAAATATTTTTCAAGTACACCAAGACTGTCGTCAATGTAATACATATATCTCACGAATTTAATTAAAATTAAAAAATTTTCTCAAAAATGTTTTTTTGTATTTTTAAAATAAATATTATTAATGTAAATATTTACAAATATTTTTTATTTAAAAATTATTTCGTGCGTGAAACTTTTCTATAAGAATTTTCAAATTAAATTTACTTTATTTTAATATAATTAATTTAAAAATTAAAATAAAAGAATGTCCAATTTACTTGATACTTTATTTAAATTTGATTATTTTGTTTGTTTATTACTTGGTTATCCTCTAAACATTATTCTGATTATTTTAATTATTTTTAAAACACCAAAAGAAATGGAAACACACAGCAGAATTCTGATACAAAATTGTGTTTTGGATATTTTAATATTAACATTTCAAATGCTTATTCAATTCGTAAAAACTTTGGACTAAAATTAAATTTGAAAAAATTAAAATTTTTTTCTGAAAGAAAATCTAATAAGAATAATTTACTAATTTCCGAAAATATTAAGGGATTAAAAGGATTTCCAAATTTCCTCAAAAATTTGCCACAGATTTAAAATAAATAAACAAACATAATTAAAAACTAATAATTAAAATCAGAATTAAATCTAAACATTAAGTTTTATATAATTGACGACAATGGAAATTCCATCTATATTTTTACTGGCGGCATTTTCTTTGAATTTATAAAGAATAATTTTAACAAAATTATTTACCTAAGTTTTATAATTATTGGACTATTTTTATTCTTTTTAAATTTGTTTGGATTGTGTGCCCAATTTGTTTTTAGATATTTAGTTTTAAACAGGTTAATTTAAAACAAAATCAGAATTAATTTAAAACAAAATCAGAATTAATTTAAAACAAAATCAGAATTAATTTAAAACAAAATCAGAATTAATTTAAAACAAAATCAGAATTAATTTAAAACAAAATCAGAATTAATTTAAAACAAAATCAGAATTAATTTAAAACAAAATCAGAATTAATTTAAAACAAAATCAGAATTAATTTAAAACAAAACCAGAATTAATTTAAAACAAAATCAGAATTAATTTAAAACAAAATCAGAATTAATTTAAAACAAA